TGCGACCATCAAAGTAGTCAATGCTTGGCCTATTAAATAAACTTGATACAGATAGTTCTATGGAACCGGATGGAGTCCATCCCAGATTGTTAAGTGGACGAGGATACTTTATTATCAATCCCTTGAGTATACTTCTTGTTTGTCTGAAACTCAATGTAAGTTACCCAAAGACTGGAAGAATGCTAAAGCAAGACTTCTTGGAAAGAGGTACGTAATGTAAACCCTGGAACCATTGTCGTGGGGTGTGTGACCGTTTACGGTCTTTACGAAATTTAAGATAACGTGTAAGGGTACTTCATAATTCCGGGCCGTTTGAGGCTTTTCTTTGACTGAAAAAAAAGCCGGCATCAGAAGATCTGGTGATTTCTAAGATGCGGTCGGCAGATGCAGCCAGCCCGTCTAAGGCATTGTTTTGAAACGAGACTAGCATAGCTTGCACCGGTTGAGGATGCTTAGATAAGAAACATCGTCTGAATAGGCCATCATCGAAAGTCCTTCGACCAATCACCTCCCTCATTCTTAGCAACATGTCTGTCATAGAACTGCGTTGCAGGTCGATGTTATTGAGGAGTTAGTCTAACCTTTATCGATCGGTTAGGTCTCCGCGTTTAAGGATAGAACGTTTCAGCGCTTCGTAGGGTGCAGAAATATCACTAGTAAACATACTAGGTGTGACGTACCTGTTGAATTCTAGCGGTGGTGCCTTGACTACTGCGGGGCATTGTGCACGTGTGTTGTTCACGTCGTGCTCGTGGAAGTCAGCCTCTGCGTAGCAGAACCAGGCTTTGATGTTGTCTGGCCAGAAGGGCATCAGTTGGAACGAAGGTGGGGACATGGATTTTAGCTTAAGTATCTTGGGTGTCTGTTTAGTCATAGTGAAATATCAAGTACGAGAATGAACGAGTGAAAAAAATATATATCCAAAAACACGAAAAAATATCACAATGTATAAAAAATTAAAATAAGGCAATTTGGTGTACCAGATCAAGTTGGGCTCACCAATGAAGATGCCACAGATATTCGGAGTTTGACAACGCTTTAACCAGTAATACCTAATATGAATCACATTCATCAGGTGAAATCAAAAGACAGAATCGAGGAGCTTGGAAGATATATTTGTTGACTATCAATATATCGAGAATCGTCTGACCTAATCTGGCTAGCGATTGCAGTAGATGTTGAGCACGGCGTTCCCACTCGGGATCTGGTGCGGATGCATGACTGAGCACCTCCAGCTAGGTGAGTTCGTTAAAACTAATGTGGTCAGCATCCAATGTCGAAAACTCACAGAGCTATTTATTTTGGGGATTTATTTACTGCTACAGAGCGAAAAGTGAAAAGGGCTTTTTACTCTAAAGCTAGTTAACGGACAGACAGATAACAGTATTTATACCGTTACAGATAGCGTTGAGCTTCTGGGATCTTTCGGAACCATACTAACTACAATAATTGCATAGGCAGTTATCCCAATAAACCTGTACCACAACACTCTGAATTTTCTATATGTTTCTGCGATGGTTCTATTCAACGTCGACTGATTAACAAGTTCTCTAGGGTTCCTGAGCCTCTAATGACTAATCGAGGGATATTTTGGGACACCTCCAACGCCCCTCTCTGATGAAATATATGACTTCTTTCGCGGTTTTACTTTAAACCTGATGGCTCGTCTTTGGCGGTGTTCCCCATCTTTTTTTACTTAGTTGCTTTCGTTCTCATTCGAAGCTTTTACTTTGTAATAGTCCGTACGTATATCTAGTGAACGACTCACTTGTCCCCCACTAATTTTCATCGTCCTTCTATCTTAATGAACTTGGTTCGTGTAGCTTATCCATGTACAAAAACTTGTCAATATTTTGTACAATTATCCATGCTTTCCACAGCTTTCGACGCCGGTATGATTTGATGAATACCTTTTTCACCATGTTATAATTGCAAGTATAACTACTTTTCCTGTGGCAATCCACTTTTTCAGTAGTAGCGTAGGGTTAGAAATCGTCCGTATATTTCTCCCAAACATGGCTTCAACTGGTGACTCCCCTTCTGGTATAACAGGATTAAAAGTGATTCTCTAAAAAGACCGAAAGCTTGTTAGCTGCTTGACTCTTTTGAAGGTGTCCATGTAGCGTTCACCATGTCCGTTAGACTGAAGATGATAGGGTGAAGAACATTAGTGAGTTATTTCATTTATATCATACAATTGCCTGAATGCGTCAAAGGTTAAATGAAAGCCATTATCTGTCATTAATGTCTCTGGGACCTCGAAACAGTTAAACAAAGTGAACAACTTTTTGATAGTCTCTCTAACTATACAGTTCAGCATAATATATACTTCCGACTTCTTTGTAAATACGTACATGATAACTAGAAACATGACTCTTATGCTGGATCCACAAAATCTCCATGAAGTTTCTCTCATACATTATCCATGACCAGCACTAAATATTTTTTATTTCTGCTTAATAATGCGTCTATTAAGTTTTTGTGGTTGTCTCCCATAGTCCCGTTGTGATTGCAGATTAGGTTTATGGGACTATCTGCCAATCTTAACATCTCAATCCAATCCAAACCCAATAAATTGATTGGTGAGCGTTTTGTAATATACGATATGACCTCCTCCGTTATGGTCATTGCCGTGTCTTTACAATGTATTTCACCAACAATATCTAGCTTTCTACCCGAAGCACTATGGGGTGACTGTTGAGCTGAAGAGACTTGGGGTCTTCAAACATCCCACTATGTTCTGGTGTGTTATGTCGGAAGCCGCGTTCATTTGTATTGCACCCATTAATCATGAGAGAAACATATTTTACACGGTTGTACGAGCCGATTAGCTCAAGGGCTTCAAACGTACCAGTCCACTCTCAATTTGATACGGATGCTCATTGGGATTTCTTACTGCACATGATTTTATATGATACAAGGAAGTTTATTCCTCATATGGTCCCCAAAATCTACAAGCAACCTACAGTCATAAAGAACCGGACTTTTCAACTGCTATGCCGCAAAAGACACTGTTGCACGGAATACGAACGAACTGGTAACAACGGCGCATACACGCAATACAAGCATATAAGTAAAATATGCCCTAAGGCAAAAAGAGAAGACAGGCTTCAATAATAGATAAAGCTTATCGATGAATATGTCTTCAATCCGAAAAGCTTAATCCGTTATGCAGCCTCTTTCGATAAGCCGAAACTGGAGTTTCCCAACTACTAGGTCCTAATGGCCCGACCAATAACGACGGGGATGCCGCTAACTTTCTAGCCGAACAATACTCTCGGACATTTCAACCGACCCACATTAACCGTATTGATGAAAGCTTTATCTGCAAATGCATAGGAATTTTCGAAGTGAACCTGAACGCTGACTTGGTGTACAGGAAACTGCAGCACCTAACAATCAGACATTTCTCTTGGTTCGGATATGGTCCATTCTGACATACTGAAGGAAGCAGTTTCAATCTTGACAACACCGCTTAGCGTGATGTTCCCACACTCGTTAAGCCGAGGCACATTGTCGGAAATTTGGAATCTGGCTCACACCACACCAATTTTCAAAGGAGGTGGACGCAGCGAACCGTCAAGCTACAGATCGGTGGCTCTTTCCTCTATACTATGAAGATTACTCTTTTATGATATCCTCAATATCTGAATAACTGGTCATAGTTCATAAGCGCGTAATTTTGATGTACTCAACAATACAATTAGATTTGATCAACAAAGTGTAATTTAATATCATATGAAATTTCACTAATCAATCGGTATTTAATTAATTTAGATGTTTTATAATAAAAAACAATAAAGTTCATCATTAATCATTGTACTGAGTCAAAAACTATTTATCATATGACAACACTATCACAGGACTAACAATTAATTGATAATGGTTCATTCCACAATCGATGGATATGTCATCACTTATACGATTCATTTGATAAAATTTAATTATTTCTATTGTTCATCTTTTATAGCTAACTACTAAACTCTCAATTTTAAAGATTTGGATCAGTTAACTGTACGTATATTACAAGATAATATGTAAAATATAGTACCAATCAGCGTAAATCACCGATTGTTTTTACAAAGCGTAACAAAATTACCTCTGCGGAAATATTTTATGCCTCACGTTAATTTAACTGATATCTAATTAAATCAGTAGATTAGATAACAACTTAACACTTGCATCACGGCAAACCTATCATATTACATTTTGCTGTGGTTGTAGATGACTAGAATTACTTTGTAATAGCACTAAGAATGACTTTTTGCATAACATTAATACACCAATAGAATGTTATGATCTCCCTGATAAGAACTCATGGTTCCCAACTGTTACCTTTTATTGTTGTAATCCTCCTAAAACAACTAATGGATCATATCATTCCAAAGAATTTGACCCAATATCTCTGGCTATTACATGTAATACTGTTTTTTTGTATTAATCTGGTAACGTCCATAAATTGGTATGCACTCAATAATTATATCGGGAATATATTGATTTCTATTTTGTATAGAATTTTTTTTTAAATTTGCACTCTAGAAACACATAAGCTCATCAATCACAATTGAAAACATATGATAAAGAAAGCCGAGAAATCATCTTGTAGCATGTTATTACATATACAATTTATATAGAATTGGTGGTTTATTAATGAAACCAATCAGATTTCAACCAGTAGGTTGTACGTTCGAATCCCATCCTACCTACTTCGAATTAGGTAACCAGATAGTACTTGGTGATCCAGTTATTATTTAAAGAAACATTTGATTTCCTACCCTATCACATCATAAATTTGGATGCGATTCCAACGATTTCGCATGCAGGTAGCCAAATAACAAGACATTTTCTTTACACATAAAATATAGTTCAAAATTGAACTAGGTCATAAACATATTTACATGGCGAATCACTTATAATATCAATACTGAGATTATCAGAAGTGCTGACTAACTAATTCCACTTAAATACCTAAATAATTAATTTATTTAGCAAGGGGATATAAGCAGTAGTAATTTTAATCAATTTATTAATTTAGTTATGATAAAACGTATTAAACAAATGAGAAACATGAAAAATTCCTTTCAATTAAAAAAAAGACAAGATGAGGAACAATGAAGTATTGTTTAATCAGTTCATTTTTAGAAAAAACTTTCCTCATCTTGTACAACTATTACCAAATAGAATGTAATAAACAATTGTATTCTGTATAAATACTGATGGTATCTTTAAAAGAAAATCATTCAATGTGCAGAGTTTGTGTGTTGTTTCTTTCCTTACAAATAAGTTAGTTCAAATTTATTTATTTGTTTGCTTCTTTTTGATGAAATCTTCTACTAACAAACTCCTACACCTTCCCGAAAAAAAAACTTACATACAGAGAGAAATTTACACAGAAAAATTTAATGAAAACTAATAGTATTACTTTAAAGACTTTTTAATCCAAACAATATGGAAATATAAAGAAGATAACTTCTTATGTTGGTTAAAAATAAAAAAAACCCAGCAGAATTAATTATTTATAATTTCAGAAAGGTGAAGCAGGTAGAAAAAAGAAAAAAATTGACAACAGTAAGAATATAAACATAAGCCAAAAAGAGGAATTCAGATGATAAACATATACATAGACTTATACAGCGAAACGAAGGACAGTATAAAGTTAAATTATGAGCGATACACACAAACAAACAAAGAAGAAAATTGAATAATAAATACATAAAAGGAAATCAAGTACACACATGTACAAACATGCATCTACTATTAATCACTTACATGTTGTGTATGTGAATTCTATCAAATATATGCTAACAACAGCGACAATATAAGTAGGAAAAATGAATTCGAAAATCAACAGAACACTAAGCTAAAAATTCCTAAACGCAGGTAAAAATGAAGACAACACTAAATGGTTTTGTTAACATGTGTGAGAAAATAAATTCAACAATAAATGGACACTATATTTTGTTTTAATAAAAGGAAGAATGGAATTTGAATAGATTAACATGAAATATAATATACAGATCGTTTTTTTGGTGATATTTACTAATCACAATTATGGATCAGAGAGGATAGCAGGAAAAGAGGGAGGAAGAGGAAAGAAACTGATGACCAAATATTAATATGTGATTATGATGATTAACACAAAAGCAATTAATTAGTGCATAATATTAATGGGGAATGAATCTTTATTAATTTTTTTTGTTTCCAAAGGTGTACAAAAGGAACAAGAGCAATTTTATTCTGTATGCGTAGTAATTATTGTGTAAAGGAGTTGAAGGATTGTTATGATTTATGAACCTACAACGACTATTATGATTACCAACACTATACTACTCATAGGCATCATATGGATAAACAGATAATTGTTGATAACGTGAATGGGAATTCCGTGAGCTAGATCCATTGGATTGACTTTTTACTACAATAAAATGAAATTGCAATTTGGAAAGAGAAATAAACAAAAAAAGTCAACATTTTGCTATTAGCAAATTAAAAACATTATTATGATTAATAATTGCGTTAAATTAAACAAATAAAACACTACATTCGATGTGGACTTGTTCATGGAAAACGTTTATGATTCCAAGAACCATTGATTTCACAAGAAACTCTAATCTGGTGTATTTAATGGTTGATAATAGTCATTTCATGGACTCAAAGTTATTCAAAAAGTCTTGTCGAACTTATTCAGAAATCATCTCATACACAAACTAGACTTCAATTAGAATATACACAAATAAACTTAGTTTTATTGTACATAAAAAAAATTTGTGCAGCCTTTTTATGTATCCTAGTCTTTCACTTAATTACGCCTTATAAAATTTATTTAACATCATTTTCTAACTTTATTCTTACGTACTGTATTTTGTTAATCTGATTAATGAAATCCTTTGGGACCCGTTTTTAATTATTTCTAAACGTTCAAATAAATACTTATGTTCGTTTAAATTCCAACTTACCTGATTTCTATTCTTATTCTCACGTAGTTAGTTGCAATAATTAATCGACTATGTAATCAAGTTTTAGTTTTAATTTCGCGTTTATTGAGCTACTACTAAATTAACATTGAGATGTAGAGTTAAGTTGGTCAACCAAAATTTATACTTAAATATAAACGCATATATTAGCGTAGAATTATGAGGAGGAATCAAATTAGAAGAAATATATCTTCATTCAAGTTGTATTTTAGTTTCATAGCTACCAGTGACAGATATTACGTAATTAATATTATGCGGAAATAATGATAATACATTTTCAGCATTTAATCGTATAAAACATGTGTTGTTGTGTATTTGACTATGTTATAGTGAATATGAATATTATAAATACTTGGTATTCATATAAATCATCAAGAAAATTAGTAGATGACATTACATGAAAATGATGTTTTCGTGAATATAACTATTTGCAAGGATGTCAAATTAACTTGGTTAAATTATCAAAATGCTTCATTACTATCAGGTTAAAAAAGACATTACGTTGCAAGGAGTAAGTAAGCACGTATGAAGCAGTTAAAAATATACCCACAAATTTCCTCAAAGTAATATTCGTCTACATAAGGATTAGGAAAAGACAAAAGCTAAAGCATTTTAGTGCATTGTGTAGTAAAAACATACAAACAAAGTAAGAATCAAAGAACTTTGAAAGAAATTTTAAGAAAATCATTGCTGATGAACGAACAGAGATATACAAAACTGGACAACTACTAGTGAGGAATAAAAGTTAAATAACATTGATTTGGTTGATAAATGATACGTTTATCAAAAGTTAAACAGTCACCAATATTTAACACAAGACTCGACCACATGATTAGCAAACCCAGTAATTAAAATTGTCAACGTTATGGGCTGTTTCTCTTCATTCTATTTTCTTAATCAGTCGAAGTGAACATGGGTTTAAAACATTGTCCTTAGCATAACTAGTTTATATTTGAAAAGCGTAAGAATATTTTTACTAATTCTACTATATTTTAGGCAGTGAACATAAACACACCAAGTAATGAGTAAATATGTAAGTGGAAAAGCCGTGCAAAGCTAGTTAGTTAATTTTCATTATTAAAACAATGTATTAAAAACAGGAAAAAATCATTTTAAACTCTACACTTAGAGTTGAAGGGTCTTCATTTAGAACGCCTTATGCTAAAAGCAGGTATAATTCGGAAGTAACCAGGTCGATTCCTCTTTTTGACTAATACAGCAAAAATTGATGTACGTAATGGAATGCCCGCACAATGTGAGAGATCAGGAGGATCACTCAAGTAACTGCGGAAATGAGAAGACAAAACCTCTCTCTGATTAAGTTAAGTGAAACCCCAGCCCTACTGAACCCACTGGACATCGAAGCAACACACAAAGACCTTCCTATAGATGACACTCCACTCACAATCGAAGAAATCATTAAGGATCGATCATGCACAGACCGAATCATGACATTACAAATCATCGTTGAGCAATCAACGGAATAGAATTCGTCACTATACATCAAATTCCTTGACTATGAGAAAGCATTTGACAGTATGGATAGGAGAACCTTATGGAATCTTCGACCCTGGTGTACCTCAGTCAGTCAGTAGCAACGTAGAACTTCGTACGTACGTACGTCAGTTCGAGTTGCCACACCACATTAGCACACAGATGCAGTGGTCGATCCAAATCCTGTAGTAATTCCTACGACGGACCACAGTGCAAGGTCGTGCACGGAGGGCAGCTTATAAATGCATTACAAGTGTAGACTAGTGTTAAACGAGGCTGTTTACTCTTGCTTTCTTTCCTCCTTCTGCTGGCTGACTGAATTATGAAGACCTCCACATCTCAGAGGCAACATGGAATACATTATACAGCTTGGATACAGCTACATAATTTCAAATTAACAGACGACTTAAATCTCCGATCGCATACACGGCAATAAATGCAAGTGAAGACAGCTAGAGCAGCAGCAGTAGGCCTCAACATTAACGAGGAAAAAGCAAAATCCTGAAAATATGCAGCCAGCATCGACCTAATCACACTTGATGGTGAAGCTCTGAAAGAGATAAAAGCCTCTAAATACCACGGAAGTATCATCGATAAGTAAGGGAAATTTAATGCAGATATGGAGGGCAGCATTTCTACAAAAAAAGAACTCCTGGAAATCAAAACAAGTGTCCGCCAACTTCAAAGTCAGAATTTTCAAAAATAATGTTAAAACAGTTCTATAGTAAGGAGCTAAAATTAGGAGAATCATCATCAAAAAAAGTGTACAGGTATTCATAAACAATTGTCTACACAAGATACTCGAGATCTATTGATCAGACACTATCAGCCATAACCTACTATGACGAAGAATAAACCAGCTGAAAATATTTTTGAGGTAGATAGAAAACACTGTGGAAATCATCAAACTTCATCACGAGGCAAGCCATAACTTGAAATACTCAGGGTAAAAACTAAAGGAAATATTGCACCGGTAATTGGAGGCAGAAATCAAACAAGTACTATTTGTCAACAACTGGAAAGAAAATCCCAGGATAGAATTGGTGGTTTCTGGTCTACAGCTTTTTAGGCCAGGAAAGGTGACAGACGTACGTAAAGTAAGTGATACGAATTGTTAGGAGAAAAAAACACGAAGTGTTTCGAGCTATGTTCAAAATGAGCTACTACATTAAATAAGTGTTTATTGCTGCCAGCCACAAGATGAAAGTGGAATGAAATTAAAAGCTCATTATATCCATAATTTTGAGACGTTAGATTATATTCGAAATAAAAAGTGGCAAACTGAAAATTTGTATGATAAAGTTCAAGAGGAAGCAAAAACTTCCTCACTTGTGAAGGATTATATGCCGTTAAATTTTACTGACAAACTAATATTACCATTTGTTTTGATATTTATAAGGGGGCAGGAAAGTTAAACAACTAGATTCCTATCTTATGACTTAAAAGTATCTAGCCCCCCCCCCGGCACGGCCGAGGGTGGGCAAAGTCAGCTCTTCCACTCGAAATGCTCTCACATGACCACGTGCATACAACCACTGCCAGGGAAGTCCTACTCACTATCTTACCGCGGTGGGGCTGTTGTTTACGAAATTGAGAGGACGAAAAGCGAATGTCCGGCGCTATAACCGGTTCAGTGGATATGGGGAACCCACCTAGGGAAGTTGGAAAACCCTGATTCTCAACCAATGGTGTGCATGGGCCCCAGTTTAAATTAGTAAGTGACAAACATTCGCTTGAACCATTATTACAATTCTCAAATGATCATAGAATGTAGTTCATGACTAGCGAATAATAGTATTTACATTATATCTATGAACGATAACATTTTTAATCAACATTTAGGAATATGAACTATCGTATTTTGTTATCAGATGAAAGATATGTTAGCTTATAGCTTTAAATGAAGTGATGATAATTACTGTGACATTATAAAATGATAATTCCTATATGTTAATAACGTCTGAAAATGAAGCACAGTACTGATGCTCTAAAATCCTATCGGAATACAAAAGGTTCACAATTAATCTAAGATCATCATACAATATGTAAATCATAGTTCGGCGTGCAGACTTTTGCCTGAATGTTGAGTTGTACTACTCACAATGCATTAACCATTACATACATATGATTAACCATGCCCGCCATATACTGAGGAAAGTATTAAACTGCCTCGTTCTACTTGTTATCAGTTATTTGACTGTTTTAAGAAAATCATAAATGAACGGTAGCTGGTAGATAGATGGATCGTTATGATACATAAGCATACATAGTTGAGCGATAAACGGGAAACAATTTGGAGAACATATGGTAAGCCATTGGTAATTATGTAAACCCACAATATGTAGCAAATATCTGAGCGTTAAATACAGCTGTTTGGGCATACAGGCAAACCAATTAGGCGTATTGTAACAAAAAGAGATTTGCTAACTTCGTAAGAAAATAACATTAGTTGTTTATAGTTAATTGTTTACATCACCATAAAAAAAGTAAAGTTAATACACTCGGAAGGTGAGGGTGCATAGCTGATACCAAAGAAAAACACTACATTTTGTTTTTGTAAAAATATGAACTTCTCGAAACTGTTGTGTACCTTTTATGCTCCTGGATTCGGAACAGCCACATAACCTATACAGATGATAAAAAATGTAAATGACTCTGTGATTATAAAAGTACGGAGAAATTGAATGATCGAAAACGATAGTGATAATATAATACAGAAGCAACTAGAAGAAAAATAAAAGAGAACATAGGTATGCCAGTGGGTTAGTGTAAAAATACGGAGTGAACAGTCGGTGCGTAAAAGATTGAAATCGGTGAGATGACGGGAACAAAAGTAGCAACGTCAGAATTATATATATATATATATATATATATATATAGAATAAATATTGAAGGATTACAGTAGAGAGAAATAAAGTGAGTTGGTTAATCAATTAGAAATTCAATG